TTGCTAAACGTTTTGTCAAATAAAATGTTTGCAATGTCAGGGATATAAGTTGGGCGTGGCAAGAAGCTGACCGTACTTTTTTCTAGAATATTGTCCGCTTCATCCGCGATCGAGAAACAAGAGCGTTGTATAATTTTATCTTTGCTTTAGACCGGTTGATTTAAAGGCAATTTGCTTTGACAATTCTTTCCTGTTTTTTTTTTTTTTTTTTTTTTTAGTTTAAATCTTTATCCAAATAATTTCAATGGATTTTTTTTGGTGATACTAGGTCGAAAAATAAAAATGTGATGTAAAAATATTAACTCATCTTCTTGTTCTAACCTGGAGCAGGTCATTGTCGGATAGAGGTCGAATGGAAAAACTACGGAACCAAAACCGGCAGCCGAAACAATCAGTACTGTAGCAGAGTCTCGTGTATGTTACCTGATGACTACCACCCACAAAAGGTTGAAATTCCACAGTTATAAGCTATATCAAACGACTGCCAGGATCGTTTGGCTGGAGGCTTGTACAGACAATGCTTTGCTCGAAATTTCACAAAACTTCGAAGAACATAGTGATGATAAACGGATGTTTTTGAAAAATCACAACTAAAATTGACTGAGTTTTATCAAGGCTTAAATAGAGCACAGCATTGCATTTTTTTCAATTGGCAGAAATATGACGATGGTTTCACTAACAAGGGAAGAATAAGGGACTTGTGATCACCTACACAAATCGTCTTTTGTTTTGGCAAGCAAATAAATTCTAATGATATGTTAACATCGAAATCCATGCTCGACAAAGGCGACAAATATTTCATTGCATAGGGCCCGTATGAACTTTAAATATTCTTCAATAAGTTGTTTATCAGTTAGTCAAAAATTGGCTTTTTTCTCGTCAAGAGCAAGATATACAATACTTCCACCACATGAAAGTGGCCGAATTGATCGTCGTGCAGACGAGTTGTAACCCCAAAAATTTCCCAAAAGCTCCTGGGCGAACTACAAATCACTCATTCGTGTTGCACACGAGAGATGTCGATCTGTCGGGGGGGGGGGGTCATCAAGAAACCGGCCACATCATAACGCTCTCAACTTATCCAGGGGCTTCGGGACACTGATTTTGATAAACGCGAGAGAGATGTCCATTGGAGACGCATAAGAAAATATTCTCCCAGACATCCTGTGGAAAGATAAATCCAAGATCACAACAAATGGTATTGTGTGGTGATTAGTGATCCAGACCGCATCTCACGATTTCTGAATAATTACAAATGGTATTCTTATTCCTGAGGAATTTTCGAAGTGGGCACAGGAAAACTCCATAATCAAGTAACCATGTCATCGACAAGTTGTTCACATTCCGATGGAAATCTGATTATGCCATAGTTTTCACTGTAAAAAATCCTTTCAAATTAATGGAAAAAAGTATCATTTAAAATTTGAAAGTTGTACTGGCTCTGTACCCTGACAACAAATATTTAAAAAAGGGGAAACAATTTAAAACTAGACTAAACAACATTTAAATACGTATTTTTTGGTTTTTCGATAGCGTTATCTGTTGAAAGTTCACCACCAATTTAATCAGGTCATCTAGAAAGGACACACATAACCAGAAATATGATCTCCAATCCTATACATCCTATACAGTGCTGAAAATCCTTCTAAACAATTTATCCATAATATACTATAAAAATGTAAGCAATTTATTAATTTTATTCCTGTCATTATTACTATGGATTTCAATGTTGAAAATAGATTTCCGTATTCGTTAAGCTTGTAAAAAGTTTCAAATTTCCTGATGAAGAGGTTTGATGAGTGATTTATTTTTAACTAGATTTTAAATCCGCAAACGAAATTATAAAATATAATTCTACTTGTCTAACTTTGTCGTTTAATTTGTTAAATTTCTACCAGCGGGTCACTACATTGTAATAAATTTATTAGCCTTTTATAAAATTAATTATTATGTAATTATTTAAGATCAAAAACCGTAAGTGCACATAATAAATAACTCACTGAAGAAGTCAAAACGTACAGGATTGGGAGAGAAACCAATAAAACGTCACTACGCCAGAAAATACTGAAAACAACTATTTCATAAATTGTGTCCAATATATTTTTGTAAACTCTGTAAAGGAAGAGCATCTTAGTTGAGGAAAGTTTGCTACTCGTTAAGTACAAGCTCAATTATAAAAGTTACACCCAGAAAATATCTGTTTAAAAGTTACGAAAATCGTTAAAACATAGCAAGCAACAACGATTTAAAGCACCATGTTTAGGCTAAACATTATTTTTAAAAAGTTCAAAGGTCCAGAGCAGGCTTAGAAATAACGATAAAACCAAACTGTTCAAAAAAGTCCAATTGTAATTAACGGATTGGACTCTTTTTCATCAAAAGGTATAAATATATTAACAATATTTTATCCTTTGTGGATTATTTTAACATCTTGTGACTAATTAATCATCGGATGAACACGCAGGAAATAATTATCCGCCATCCTTAGCAAGCTGGAAAATTTATTACCAAAATAATTGTTTTAAACCTCTTGGAGTGATTGACCTTTTGTTTAGCCAATGTTTTATACTCTAAATGTTTAATAAGTTGAAACGAAAAAAAAACCCAGTTATTTTTAATGGAATTCTTCATTTGAGATACGAGACCGTGTAGAGAACAGCAATAGTCAAAACAAACCGTTGATAACTATTAATTTGTAGAGAGATAACCCCATTTATTTAATATTCATTGATAATTAGATAATAAAAATATTGGATCTGTATCGTAGATAGGTAGATGTGTAAATTTCAGCAAATGATATTGCAGATTCATTTCATGTTAAACACGTTGTAATAAAAAATCTGGGATTAGATAAAATAGTTGTAACAATGGCGTTACGTTTTGAGATCAATTTGCAGATTTTTATATTGTTATTTTTGACATAAATAGTAAATTGAGTTAAATTGATTGACTAACTTTTTTAAAAATATTGTACACTTGAAACTGAGAAACGAACGACTGCGTCTATAAGGCTCAACTCTCTCGTCCACATTTGTATTGATTTTCTGACAAGATCTTTTATTTAAAATTACACAGAGTTCATAGAAAAGTATTGTCGGTCTTTCATTAGATTATTTTTAGAAGTGCGTCAATTTTTGTCCATTTTAATTGGTAACATCTACCATATTTCGAAACTTACCATTTATCCGTCCTCTTAAAGTTTCCAGCTGTTACAAAAAAAAAGTGTATATAATTCACTAGTTTTCGTGGTTCGCTTGACCAATTAATATATTTCAATAAATTAAGGTTTTTAGTTGAGATAAAAAAGTCAGACGAGCGGGATTCGAACCCATAACCTTCGCGGCTCGATACGCCGCTACTCTACCACTTGAGCTATCGTCACTTCGATCTACTCGGAAACCATCTCAACCCCACATTTTTGAATTTTCCCTCATTTTTGCCATTTTTCACAATTCAAAAATTCAAAAATATTTTTAAATTTTTCTAAAAAACGCATATCATTCATTTAATATTAACATAACACATTATCATTTACCTACTTTGCTAAGTCGCTTGGTTACTACGACAAAATTGTATTTAGAACCTACCCATAACTTAGTCAGGTTTAGTAAATATTGAAATTCATAATTTATGACAGTGCGACTAAGCAAATTGTAAAAAAAAAAAATGTATATTGTAATACTGTAATTAATAAATTAAAATCCGCCATTACAGAGGGATAATTTACAGTTCGTTTAATTAAAATGAGACAGTATATACAAATTTAGCCTGATTTTTTTAAATTTTTAAAATTTATTTTTAATTTTTTTTTAGCCTAGTTAACTTTAATGAACATAAGTCATAATTTTGGCAAATAATGAAAAATATTTCAGTAGCATTAATGCTAAATGACATGAAACGTGTGAGGAGGTTTCAACCCAGTGGCTCTCCTCCAAAATTTGGTTTGTTTTTAAATTTATATACACAACAAGGTCAGCATGTTGTCTCCTTTTCAGCCTTCTAAGTTCACGTGTCGGCGGCAGCGACTGGACAAAATCAGTGAAGATTTTTGTGAAGATATTTGGGTGCTCAGTTACGCGTTGATACAATTTCGCATATGCCTCTTCGCCACTTCGGCGACGTAGCCACTGTTTTGTTAATAAATTTAATTATGATTATGTACGAAAACATTTAATATCAAATAACCGGAAGTATGCTTGGTAAAACCATTAAAAAATCTATAGAAGAGGTTTTACATTAAAAAAAATTACAATACAGAGTAATTGTTTCACACAGGAAAAATGGTTGAAGTTTTTAAACCTAAACAAAAAGTAATATTTAACTTTTTTTACTATCAACTATGCTCAAGCTTTCGATTATATTGTTAAGAACAATAAACATTTTTTCCGTTTAAAAAAATGGCTGCAGTATATTTGCATATATTTTTAACAAACAACAAAAATCCCCAGTGAGATAATCGTAGGTTGTTTTTATCTTTATGCATGTAATTTAAAATATACGAGCTAATTACGTTAGTACAATCAAATTTTTTTAAATAACCTTGTAAACAATGAAAAAATAACATATATTTTATTCTAGGTGAATAGGTTAGACAACATTATGCCCAAAACGTTTATATATCATCTTTTATATAATAATATCCTTTATTTCAGTAGGTTCTCTTTATGATTTTATCAAAATATGAAATAAACTAATAACCCACAGTTTTGTTTGTATAATGACAAGAATCAGCTGTTTTGTAATGAAGGCTTTATCTTTTTGAACTTGATTTGGAAGTAAATATGAAAGAAAATGCCTATCAAGGCAAACCTTTAATGGTGGTTTCAACCTTTTTGAATGTTAATTTTTAATAAATTTGATAGTCAGGTTATAAAGGTAAAAGTGAATTTTCAATCTGTAAAAAATCAGAAAAATATTCAAACTCCGTTAATTTTTGGCAATCTTCTTGTAACCCTTCGAGCTACTACCTCCTTGATTTATTGTACATAAATTACTTCAATTGTTTATTATTTTGGAAAGTACGTTCAAAATTTGTTTTTCATTTCAGAATAGAAATTACAATTCACTCTTTGCGCTAATTATTTCAAAGATACCAGGTAATTTAAAAAAAAGCATATTTTGCCCAGTGTTGATTGATTGATTTTATTGAAGGTACAGCCGTCTGTGATCATCTCCTGCGGGACGCCCCTTGCAGGGGTTCCTCGGGTAAAGGACAAAACTCGAAAATTCGTTGGATAGAAAAAAAGAGAGAAAAAAGAGGAAGGATTGGCTGGAGAACATGGAATAAGAGGGGCAGGCGAATTAATCGCGGGCTATCACACCGTCTGCCGTCAGTCTCCACTCTCTCCACGTACGATCGTGAACGAGGGGTCAGACCATTCCTGGTAATCTACTACGTTACGCAGTTTATAAGGAAGGACGGATCGTCGGTAAGTTTTTTCCGCTTGAATAATTTAATTAATTGTTCAGGCTTCATTGCTTGATACGTCGCGAGTGGGCTTTACATTCATTCCAATGCCAAAAGCTTGAAGGTTCCATTAAAATAAACAACTCAAAATGCCACCTTCTCCAAAACAGACATAAACCGTCCTCACCCTTGGTGAAAGAATAAAATTTTTGGACATGTTACATTTTTTATGCAGGCCAAAGCTTTTCTTCAAAACAACTCAGGAAAATTTTAACCTTGAGGGACCAGCTTATTAAAAAAGCAATGGATTTCTACCCATCTTTAAATCCAAGTTTTAATTTTTATAGGGATGTCGAGGCCGCTTCAAATCCTTAAAGAAATTAATTATTCGGCGAAACAGCGAACTATTAATAGTGATTTCGTTCCTTGCATATCAAAAAATACAAACAATGGAAAAATTAACATGTTCAATCATGTCTTCTATTACGTTTATTTGAATAAACTTTTTTTTAAAATTCTAAATTGTATCTCAATGTTTGCGCCATGGAATAGCATAGGAAAATAGATTCAACATTCGCGTATTTAACATTCACGGCAGTTTTCTGGAACCAAACACCCGCGAATGTTAAGGGATTACTGTAATTTCTTTCTTTTAATAATTGTATTTTACCCTAATATAAACTAACTGGACAACACATATTAACACAAATATTGAATATGGGACATGGTGCTCGGTACAAAAAAATATTTCGCACGCTTTTCTTAGTTTTATTTATCAATCAAGTTAGATACTTCAAATGTCAATAATTAAATTTGGCTATTTCGGAAATCTAAAAATTAGAATAACGCCATATCTATCCACATTAAGAATATAATCTAATAGATAATAGGCAACAAATGTCTGTGATTTGAAGAACTGGCTTCTGATCAAGGGTCTTATAAAAAATTCGGCTAGTAATCGTAGATTGATTTTTTTTATATACCCTGATCAGGAACTTCTTCGAATCACATACTGTAGTTTTAGTAGTCTACACATTTCACCTGGCGTACAGTTAATATCTGTCGTTTGAAGTCGTTTCAAATTATAACTACATAAATGATTATTCGGAGATCGTGAGATGGGTCTGGTGTGACGTAAGTTTTAGAAAAACATTTTCTTTATCGTTCCAACGTTTCGATCTTTATTGAGATCATCTTCAGGGCCTGGGATCTATCAACATTATTTAAATTTTTCAAATACATGTAAAATGCGAAAAAATGAATTTATACAATGCTAGAAAATTTTAGATTAAAAAAGAAATTATACAATGCTACTGAATAATCATTGACTAACGGTCAGTAAACACCACACGTAAATTACATAAAGTTAACGAGTTTACTTCATTGCAAATTAAACATTATCAACTCTCAAGCCGATAATGTCAAAACTGGAAATCATTGAATCATGTTAAGGGGCTGAATTTAAAAAAGAGTTTTAATGTTAATAAAAAAATCTGTCGAAAAAGAATTTAGTTCTTACAACAAATCAACAAAGTTGTCAAGTCTTATGTATTATAAATTTACAATCTCGTAAGTACAAATTTCATGTATGCATAGATCTTCAGATATGTTTACTTTGTGAATTATTGTTAATAATTTCAAAGTACTAATGAAGAAGTAATATTCTTCGAAAATTTGAGGAACTGGGTATTCTTCTTTTCTTTAATACTGGCTTTGACAATAAGTTTTTAATACAAAATAGTATTATTAAACATTGGTATAAAAAAATATAACTGGATATTGATTATTGTTAACCTTGTTATTTAATAATAATAGTTTAAAAGTATTGATGAAGAGGAAATATTCTTCTAAAGCTTGATGAAGGAAGTTCAATCTTTTCTTTCAAACTGGCTTGGGCAATGATTTTTTTAATACAAAATCGTATTAAATCATATTAATCATTATTTGGAGTTCGTTAGATGTGGTCTATAATTGTATTTTTATATAATTGTATAAATTCATTTTTTCACATCTTACACGTGTTTGTATTATTTAAACAATGTTTATAAATCCCAGGCCCTGAAGATGATCTCAATAAAGATCGAAACGTTGGCACGATACAGAAATTTTTTTCTAAACTTACGTCACACCAGACCGCATTTCACGATCTCCAAATAATCATTAATTAACGGTCGCTAAATACCACACAAAATCATATTATTAAACTGTGCTATAAAAAAAACTATATGTACTTATTTGTTAACCTTGTGAATTGATAATAATAGTTTCTACGTATTGATGAAGAGGGATATTTTTCTAAAGTTTGAAGGAGGAAATGAGCGTTCTTCTTTTCTTTTATACTGGCCTGTCCCTGAATTTTTAATGCAAAATCGCATTAATAAACACTGATAGAAAAAAATATAACTAGTTGTTAATATATGTGAATTATTAACATTATTATTCTATCCATTATTTTTCCAAATAACTTCTTTCAATTAATTAATCTTTATGTAAGGTATTGGTTGAAATGAATAAGTCAGTGTCACGAGTGGGATTCGAACCCACGACCATCGGCTAAATACGCCGCTGCTCTACCACTTGAGCTATCGTGACTTCGATATACTCGGACACCAACTTCCCATCACAACTTACTTTCTTGTATTTTTTATCTCAAAAACAGGAAGTGAAAAATTTTCTATATAGACTTAGTAATAGTTTACTAAGTTGAAAAAAATAAATGAAAAAAGGTCACTATTTCATGCTTGTTATGGTCATCAAACCCCAATTATGAAGTTAAGAACCTTATGTAATTATTATTATCGTTTCAATGTCCTGATGAAGGGGATATATTCATTAAAGTTGGACGAAGGAACTGGGTGTTTTTCTGTCAAATTAGCCGTTACCCTGATCTTGTAATACAAAATTATGTACGTACGTGTAGGGATTATTTATTCAAATTTGTAGGAACCGAACGAAATGCTGTTTGATGCGAAATAATCTCCAATCATACACTTTATGAATTGAACTAAAAAAATTGGTTTTAAAAATAGTAATTATTAAATACTAAGAAAGGTGAACGGGAAAGTTGAATTAGTGCTGTACTAGACAAATGTAACTTTTTTTAAACTGATCAGTCTCATTTTCACAATTAACACTTTAACATTGTGTCGTAATTTTATACAGAGAATGTTTTAAATATTAAAAAGCTAAGAAAACCCGATCCTAAACTGACGAGCCACAACAATTGCGAATTTTTATTATTCTTATTTTTTAGAATTAGGCTTCTTTTCGAAGTTTTTAATTCATTAAAAACAAATCACGATCAAATTGTAAGAAATGGACAATGGCACGATTGACATATCTCAGAAATACACAAATGTAAGATTTATTTATTATATTGTGTTTTGTCTAAACTTGACATCACTGCAAGGTAGAGGTTCAGGGTTCGATTGCAGCGGCCAACACAACAGCTTTTAATTTAATCCATTATATTTAGAGGTCTGATTGACCAAATTACTTCTTTCAATTAATTAATCATTTTACGTAAGGTTTTGGTTGACATGAAAAAGTTAGTGTTACGAGCGGGATTCGAACGAACGATCTTCCGCTCAATATGCCGCTGCCCTAACCACTTGAGCTATCGTGGTTTCACGGTTTATTATTAAGAAAAATATTTATTTAATAAAAAAATATACATCAAATACATAGAAGTACAGAAAGAAAGTACACGATGATTTAAAAAAATTGTTTTCATCAAATGAATGAACATGTATCTTTGAAATATGTATTTTTTCAGTAGGTGATGATGATGATCATGAAGGATATTAGGAAGTCTTTTTTTTCTAAGCATTGCACCCTTCTGGCTTACTGTACTTTTATAGTTTCTTAGTTCGGTGCAATTGACTCGATTCTTCTGCTAAGATTATTTGGAGATCGTGAGATGCGGTCTGGTGTGACGTAGGATTTAGAACATCATTTTCTTTGTCGTGCCAACGTTTCGATTTTTATTGAGATCATCTTCAGAATAAAGATCGAATCTCGATAAAGATCGAAACGTTGGCACGATAAAGAAAATGTTTTTCTGAAACCTACGTCACACCAGATCGCATCTCACGATCTCCAAGTAATCATTGGCTAACGGTCACTAAACACCACACACTTCTGCTAAGAATTGACGGTGGCTACTGCCATTCCATTCCTGGGTTTCTTTTTGTGTTATGGTCTCCAGTGAGAAGTTGCTTCGCAATCGAAGATGAGGATTATTTTAGCACAAATTTACTGTGTCTTGCGCCCCTCGAATTTATCCACTTCTCTGTGTTTTGGACCCATTCTGTGATGGAAGATTCTGTGTTTGTTTTTCCTATCCCAAGAATAGGTTCAGGGCCTATATACGGTCTTGCAGATCCTCCTCTGGCCAACGTGTTTGCTTTTTTTACCCAATTTTTTTTTTGTCCTGATACCCAAAATGTCATCGTATAGTTGAGTCCCCGAGGTTTTGGAGATTTTGGATTATAAAATGACATTTAAGTAGCTAGAATGGTTCGTTAAATTTTTTTCTTTCTATTCCTCGGCCTTTATTTTACAGGATGAAAAGAAAACAAATCAATTTTATCAATCCTACATGTCAACTAGTAGCATTTTCATTTATGACGGTTTCCTTTTTTCGGACAGAATTAAATTGCCGAGATGAAAAAGTTAATGTCACGAGCGGGACGATATGGTCAATTATGACCATTAAACATTGAAAATGTTATTGAATTTTTCTAAAGAAGGCATTTTATTAAATTAAATGTAATTTTGAAATATGTAAAAAATTTATCGAAAGAGTTTTATTTAGCCAAGAAAAATTTGTAGTCTCATGATTTGTGTACATCATAAAAGCTTTTGGTTCTTTTTATTTTTCAACATATTTGATTAAAAATTACGATTTATACATCAAATACTTTTTGTATAAAGAAGTAAGTAGGGATCAATACATTCCAGGCTTTGTCAGTAACATTCTTTCATTCAAAATTCCAATAAAACTTTTCACTAGATCACCCT